GGGCTGGGGATTCGAACCCGCCACCTTAGGTGTATGTGGCTGGCACCTTAGCCGCTTGAGCCACAGGCGCCGAGCCAACAAAAAGTTTTTTAAGGCTCAGCACCTGTGGTTCAAGCTGCTAAGGCACCAGCCACATACAGCTGAGCTGGCAATTTGGAATCCAGCCTGGGCCCGCCAAACAACGATGGCTGCAACCAAAAGATAGCCCGGCTTTGTGGCAGGAGCCTATAGTCCCAGCTACTTGGAAGGTGGGGGCAGGAGAATCCCTTGAGGCCAGGAGTTGGAGGTTGTTTTGAGCTGTGATGCTACAGCACTCTACCCAGGGTGACAGCTTGAGGCTCTGTCTCAAAAAACAAAAACATTTTTTAATTAGTTAGACATGGTGGTACATGCCTGTAGTCCCACCAACTTGGGAAAATGAGGCAGGAGGATTGCCTGAGCCTAGGAGTTCAAGGTTGCAGTGAACTGTTGTCACACCACTGTACTCCAGCCTGGGTGACACAGTGAGACTCTTGTCTCTTGGAATAAAAAAAAAAAGAAATCACCATGGCTGCCTTATTGAGACAGTATTATAAGGGGGCAAAGAAAAAACAGGAAGCCCATTTGGAAGGCTACAATAATCCAGGTGAAAGATGATGGTAGTGTGGACCACGATGGCAGCAGTGAAGGCAGCAAGAAATGCATAAATTACATATTTTACAGGTTTTGAGAGTATACCAAAAGAACTTCCTGACATCAGAGCCTCACTGTCACCTTGGTAAAGTGCCATGGTGTCACAACTCACAACAACCTCAAATTCCTGGGCTCAAACGACTATCTTGCCTCAGCCTCCCAAGAAGCTAGGACTACAATTGTCACAACGTCCAGCTATTTTTATTTATTTTTGTTTTTGTTTTTGAGACAAGAGTCTCACTATGTCGCCCTCAGTAGAGTGCTATGGCATCATAGATCGCAGCAACCTCAAATTCCTGGGCTTAAGCAATCCTTTTGCCTCAGCCTCCCAAGTGGCCGAGACTACAGGCGCCCAGCACAATGTCTGGCTATATTTTGGCTGTAGTTGTCATTGCTGTTTGGCGGGCCCGGGCTGGGTTTGAATCCACCAGCTCCGGTTTATGTGGCCACTGAGCTACAGGTGCCAAACCAACACCCAGCTATTTTTAGAGACGAGGTCTCTCTCTGGCTCAGGCAATCCACCCTCCTTGGCCGCCCAAGTGCTAGGATCACAGGCGGGAGCCACTGCATCTAGCCCTCCCTGATGTCTTCAATATAGAGTATGAGGAACGACTACTGGTCTGAGCAAATACAGGAATGAAAGGGCCACTGAGACGAGACGACTTTGAAAGGAGCAGGTTGTAAGAAGAAAAACAGTAAACTGGTTTGGGAATCTCTAAATCTGAGATAGCAGTTACCACATTCAAGTGGACATGAAGTAGTTGGCTGGAAACTAAGTTCAAAAGAGTTATGGGATAAGGCTGTCACTTTAAAATATTTTGGTGGCAGCTGTCAAAATCTGTAAGAATAACACAATGATACTAATTTTACCTCATAAAGTACAGTTGGAATGAAAGTTACCTGATATGATGGTGCCCCCCTCATCATTTCCTGAGTAGCTACATTTTACTATGAAATGGTAAGGTTTCTTTCACTGTATCTTCTAGAATGAGACATGACGAAGAAGAATGGGGGCACTATTCTCCCACACGTCTATAATTCCGAAGGAAGGCAACCAATGGGCTGAAGGCAAAGGCCCCAACAGTGTTGCTATATTGTCAATGTGATCAAAAATTTGAGGGTCAGTATGGCTAACTTTCAAGAACATATCTCTATAATGCTTTTCAAAGGTTTTGAATCTTTCCCCTCCAAAGGATATGAAAATGCCTGCTTTAAATTAACTTTACTTGAGAAAGGGAAGAGTATGTAAGATCCCAACTATTAAAAACTTTAAAATATCCTTTACAATAAACTCTACTTCTTGTCCAAAGTAACCTTGTGGAAATATTTTAAATGAGCCTATTTTGACCTGGAACTCACACATAACATTTGTTCATTCAACAAATATTTATTGAGTATCTACTATGTGACATAAACTTTTTCAAGTGCTGGGGATATAACACTGAAAGAAAACCAAAACAAAAACTTCCCCTGAAGAAAGGTTACTTTCTAGAATATAGAGTAAGCCAGGAGGTGCCAAGTGCTATGGAGAAAAATAAATGTTGGGGCAGAGTGGGAGTGGAGGAATACAAATACTAAAATTTTAATAGGGTGGTTAGGAATGACCTGAGTACTGAAAACAAGTTGTGAAGAATGAATAAGCACAGTAATTTTCAATCCCTTTTCTGCCTTTTTTTTTTTTTTTTGAGAAAAAGTCTCATGCAGTCACCCTGTAGTGAGTGCCATGGTATTATAGCTCACAGCAACCTCCACAACCTCTAACTCTTGGGCTCAAGCAATCCTCTTGCCTCAGTTTTTCTATTCCTAGTAGAGCTAGGGTCTGGGGGAGTCTTGGTTTTCTGCTCAGGCTGGTCTCAAACTCATGAACTCAAGCAGTCCACCCGCCTCGGCCTCCCAGAGTGCTAGGATTATAGGCCTGAGCCACTGCACCCACCTACCTTTTCTGTTTAAACACACTTGAGATTTACTTCAGTGGAATAAAACATGCACAGATAAGCTAAATGTTAAAAAGACTGTCACCTAGGGATGAAAAACAAATTGAACTCATTCACTATTTAAAGAAACAAAATGAAACTGATGAAAATTATTTTAAGAGGCAAATGTCTTTAACTCTCGAGAAGTGAACTGAGCCTTCACAGAGCAATTCAAAGTATCTAGATAAAGTGGAACTGGTATTTCAAAACATAAAGTAGAATGTACAACAGACAAAAAACGTACCTTCTAAGAATTTCATGAAAAGTAATGACAGCAGTGGGGAAGAGGGAGAGAGGGTGGTGAAAGAAGTATTGTATGTCAATTTCAAAATAAAAGAATGGCCTGGGCTTGGCGCCTGCGGCTCAAGCAGCTAAGGTGCCAGCCACATACACTGACCTGGAGGGTTCGAATCCAGCCCAGGCCCAAACCACGATGACAGCTGCAACCAAAAAATAGTCGGGCACTGTATAGTCCCAGCTACGTGGGAGGCTGAGGCAAGAAACTTACTTGAGCCCAAGAGTTGGAGGTTGCTGTGAGCTGTGATGCCACAGCACTCTACCCAGGGTGACAGCTTGAGGCTCTGTCTCAAAAAAAAAAAAAAAAAAAGAATGGCCTGGTATTATATACTAAAAAATTAGGGATTCTATGGCTTGGCACCTGTAGCTCAACCGGCTAAAGTGCCACTCACATACACCAGAGCTGGTGGGTTCAAATCCAGACCAGGCCGGCCAAAGAACTATGACAACTACAATCAAAAAACAGCTGGGCACTGTGGCGGGCACCTGTAGTCCCAGCTGCTTGGGAGGCTGAGGCATGAGAATCGCTTAAGCCCAGGAGTTGGAGGTTGCTGTGAGCTATGATGCCATGGCCCTCTACCCAGGGTGATAGCTTGAGGCTCTGTCTCAAAAAAAAAAAAGAAATTAGGGGGTGGCGCCTGTGGCTCAGAGGGTAGGGCGCCGGCCCCATATACCAAGAGTGAGGGGTTCAAACCCGGCCCCCGGCAAACTGCAACAAAAAAATAGCCAAGCATTGTGATAGACGTCTGTAGTCCCAGCTAAGAATGGCCTAAGCCCAGGAGGTGGAGGTTGCTATGAGCTGTGTGACACAATAGCACTCTACCGAGGGTGATAAAGTGAAACAAGAAAGGAAGGAAGGAAGGGAGGGAGGGAGGGAGGGAGGAAGGGAAGGGGAAGGGGAGGGAAGGGAAAGGAAGGGAAGGAAGGAGGGAAGGAGGGAACAAAAGAAGGAAGGGGAAGGAAGGAAGGAAAAGGAAGTAGGGATTCTGGGCTAGGTACCATGGCTCACTGCTGTAATCCTAGCATTCTGGGGGGCCAAAACAGGAGGACTGCATGACTTAGGAGTTTGAGACCAGCCTGAGCAAGAGTGACACCATGTGTCCACAAAAAATAGAAAAACTAGCCAAGCATAGTAGTACATACCTGTAGTCCCAGCTAGCTGGGGAGGCTGATGGAGGAAGATGCCTTCAGCCCAGGAGTTGAGCCTACTGTACTCTTCCCAGGATGACTCTGTCTCAAAAAAAAAAAAAAAGAATTTAGGACATTAATTATGTCAATATGGAGCCATCTCAGAGTCAGTAACTGGCTTCAGAAAATCTCTTTCATTCTGTATGGAGCATGTATCATAAGACTAGAAATAAAAGATACCTCTCAGTATTCTCAATGAGACATGATTACAGCCTGAACTAAAGCAGGAGTGGTGCTGATAGATAATGATATGAAGAAGGGGGCAGCACCTATGGCTCGATGGGCATGGCACTGGCCCCATATACCAAGGGTGGTGGGTTTGAGCCCAGCCCTGGCCCTGACCCTGACCAAACTGCAACAAAAAATAGCCAGGCGTTGTGGCAGGCACCTGTAATCCCAGCTACTCAGGAGGCTGAGGCAAGAGAATCGCCTTAAGTCCAAGAACTGGAGATTGCCTCTACCGAGGGCAATAAAGACTCTGTCTCTTTAAAAAAAAAAAAAAAAGATGTAAAGAAGATATTTAAGAGATCAACTAACTACCCTCGACATAAAAGAAAAGTATTCATCAATGACTTCTAATTTTTGGCTTGGATAGATAAGATGTGGTAGCATTCAGAGACTGGAGAAATATGAAGAAACAAAGGAAATGGGTAAAGAGGAAGTAAGCACTGGGTGTCAGGGCATAAATTCTCTTTTCAACAACCACATTCAGATGATTTGGACTATCCAGTTAGGAAATGTTCAGTTGTGCATCAGATATGGAGATTTACAACTTAGGAGAAAATACTAAAATGACAAGTATATATGTATATAGTACTTTCTAAAGAGCTTGGCCATGAAAGAGCCAACAAGAGCTCTAACTAGAGTTTAGATGTTAGGGTTAAGATGGAGTTTTTCAAGATGGGAAAGACCTCAACATATTTACATGCCAAGACAGAGATGGAAAACCAGTAGGGAGAATTTGACAATAGAGGAGAGGTATAAAATGGCAACCATCAATAAGGAGTGATGATGGATTTGGGGCACAGAAATGCTGCTAAGAAAAATTTCAACACTGGAAGAGGAGCTTAATATAAAAAAGGTTCTAGATCCAGCAATCCCAGTGCTGGGCATATTCAAAAGAAACAAAATCAGTATGTCAAAGAGGTATATGTACTCCTATGTTTGTTACAACACTATACACAACAGCCAAGGTATGACATTATCTATCAAAAGATAAATGGATAAGGCTCTGGTGCCTGTACTTCAGCAGCTAGGGCACCAGTCATACACCAGAGCTGGCGAGTTCGAATCCAGTCCAGGCCAACCACAATTAAAACATACCTGGGCGTTGTGGTGGGCACCTGTAGTCCCAGCTGCTTGGGAGGCTGAGGGAAAAAAATTACTCAAGCTCAAGGGTTTGAGGTTGCTGTGAGCTTGACACCACAGCACTCTACCAAGGGCAACACTGTCTCAAAAATAAATAAAAAAATGGATAAAGGAAATGTGTTCTATGTACATAATAGAAAACTATTAAGTCATAAAAAAGAATGAAATCCTGCCACTGGCAACAACATGGATAGAATTAGAGGACACTATATTAAGTGAAATAAGATGGGCACACACACTGGCTCGGTGCCCCTAGCACAGCACTTACAGTGCCAGCCATATACACCAAGGCTGGCAGGTTGGAAACCAGCTTGGGCCAACTAAACAACAATGACAACTGCAATAAAAAAAAAAAAAAAAA